CCCCCCCCCCCCCCCCCCCCCCCAACCTCGTGGTCGGCTCAGATACCTCCCATCCGAAACGTTGACGAAATCTTGGACGCCATGCACGGCCCCCGGCCCATACCGACGCCAATAACAGCGTCCGGGTCCAACGACAACAACAGCAAGGACGGCAAGGATAGTAAGGTACTGGGGGGGGCGCTTCCCCCTCGACCACCGCCCCCATCGGCGGGACAAGGACCCAAACAGGACACAGATAGTTTCGTGCGCGCGGCGCCGCCGTCAACGGCGGAGGGGCCAGGGGTGAACGGGGGCTCCTTAGGGGCGGGAGCGGGTGGGGGCTCCGCAAATCAAGCACCTGCAGGCGATGGCGGCGGCAGCGGTGCGGCGAACGATGCTATCCCGGACCCCGCCGACGGTGGGGGGGTGGGGGGGGGTGGGGGGGCCGCGGGGCCCCTGGAATTGTTCCTGGCGCGGGGGGAGAAGCTGCCGGTGGTCTTGCTGACGTGCGATCGGCATGACCTCCTGGAGGAGACGATAGAGGTGCGGGGGGGAGGGGCAGCTGTCGTGCTCCTGGCGGGAAGGGCTAGTGAAGGTTGAGGTTGTCATCTTTGAAGGAAGCTACGCGTGAGTGACGGTGCGTCCTACTGTAGTTGCTGGGTCTGTATGGCAGTGGCTCAGCGGTGATACGAAATACTGCTGTGTCGTACATACTGTCGTGCAGGGTTCACAAGAGGGGATCGGGGGAGGGCGGGGGAGGGTGAGTCGCGCGTGCGGAAGATCGCCGAGAACTAGGATTCTTTTTGTTTCTAGGAAATGACAATTGGATGTTGATGTTGTCACTTTGACTTAAAGTACTGCAGTACATGTAAGGGTACCATAATTTCCGGTGAGACACGTCCCAACTAGTCGTCCTGACATCATCGCCTAGCGTAGTGCGTGCCTGTGGAAGCAAATCTTGTCCGTTTTTGGTCGCCGACCGCTCCTCCCTCCTTGCTTGCTTGTACCCCCTCTCCCCTTTCCCGAAGAGCCTCCGCAACGTGCGCGGCATGGATATGAGCACCGTCATGGTGCTGCAGGATGGCACCAATGACAAGGTCTGGAACGACTTGTGTTGGTCATATATATGTTTTTTTTTCGCCTCCTGTTTTTTTTGCTGTGTTCGAGGCGTTAACCGCTGAGATGCCCCCAAGTCTAAAGCCGACAAGGAGCACGAATCGGGAAAAAAGTGAACAATTCGTGGAAGAATTTGTTAGAGTGTGTTGTCTTGTGCAAGCGGACGGACGGGCAGTGACAGGCCTGTCACCGGAGTACGCTCGGTTGTTTGCTATTTTTCTGTTGCTTTTCGATGCCCCCCCCAGGAATACACGGAGGCCATCCCTACGCGCCGCGGTCCCTGACCGTTTCTATCCGTGTTTCCATCCATATCTATTTACTCATCAATCTGCAAGCGCTTTGCCGCTTGACCAAAATATCTAAATGAGCCATTTTTTTCTTTTCATTCCTCCGTTCCTCGCTTTGTGTGTGTTTCTCACTAAGCGTTTCGTTTTGCACCGCGGTACATCTGGCAGGTCGCCGCCGTCGTGCGAGAGCAGAACCTGTACCTCAAGCAAAACACCCAGGCACCCGGCCTCAGGGGTGGTCCCAAGCCAGGCGACAACGGCGCGAAGAGGATCGCGATGCACTACAAGTTTGCCCTGCAGCACGCCTTCGAAAGGCACCCACAGGTATGGTACATGAAGGATTCTTTGCGTTGCTTCTGGGGGGGGGGGGGGGGGGGGGGGGGGGGGGGGGGGGGGGGGGGGGGG